AATAAGCAAATATCGAGTTGGATATTAAATTACAACGTTCAGAATCGCGAAGGGAAAACACATAAAATGGCCGATGACATAGTTTATGGTTAGCACAGATTATAAATCAACCTCTCATCACCGGAGTGCGTTTCGTGAATTCAGGGTGCAGCAAATATTTACAACATGGTTTCGTGTAAAAACTCTGTTGAATTCGAGAGTATTCGGATGAAAAATAGTACCTACTTTGGTTTAAAAATCTAAGGCTGAGTTGCACCATCATACTTTAACTGTGACAAACGTCAAAACTCTGTCAAACTCCATACAAAAAACACCGATTATCGTAAAAGTTACGGCCAAAGTTAGGTGGTGCAACTCAGCCTAAGTACCTATTTTAACTTTTCAATAAGCCACCGTTCCGCAAAATTTGTTTGAATTTACTAAAAAAAGTTAGTTCATAAATCATACCTAGTTAACTGATGTACAGTCAACAAAAAAGTAAGAAATGTACTCAACCGATCGAATATAAAATATTTCATTTTTTTAAATATATTAAACCTACTCTCACGTAAAAACTCTGCTTAATTATAGAATCGTGCTTGTGCTATGGAGACTAACTGACCTGATGATTACAAAAAAAAACATTCTACAAATTGTATAAGTGCTACTCACATGGATTGGTCATCATAGGCAAGTAGTATGCCGCCGTTTAGCCTGGTAGTGGTTCACGTAGGGCCGCCACTCCTCTCTTGACTTTATAATTATCTGAAAAATTAAAATATTAAGAATTTGACATTTCAGCGTGATGAGTACGTGCATGCATATTATAGTACGAAATATTTAGGCTGAGTTGCACCACCAACTTTGACCGTAACTATAACGATAACCGGTGCTTTTTGTATGGAGTTTGACATAGTTTTGACGTTTGTTAAAGTTAAAGTAAGATGGTGCAACCCAACCTAAATCTTGAATCAACATCTGTGTCGATCATTTACCCCAGTAGCTACTATGACTTTCGCAAGGTACGTATATTTATTCAAATTAAGTGCCGTACACACATCACTAGGGCCAGTTACTTAAGTCAGTTTATAGACTTGAAAACGCTAAAGTATGGGCACAGTATGGGGAAACAAAGCGAGCCCGCATTCCCGCGTCTTACGAACATGTTGCTAATCGGGCCGCGTATGCACCATCACGGACTCAAAACTTGTGCCGCTAAAATGACGCTTTTAAAGGCCGACTTCTAAAAGTATGATCTAATTTATGGGAATCAACGATGAAAAATTACAATGATATTACTAATTTAAATATTCAAATGGTTTTAAATACAAATGGATTGCAAAATAACAAGCTTTTAACAATTGTCGGTGTACCTACCTACATAGAAATAGGGCAGCAGTGAAATATCTACGTGCGATCAAATTATCTCTAAAATGATGGACTAATTAGCAGAAAGCTATTAACATCATATGAGTATCATTGACTGTACAGCACCTACTTATTTCAATTAAACACTGTATCAATAATATTTATAATAAAAACAAGATTTATAAAAAAATACACACAAATTACTTACGAAAATGTCCATGTTCTGCTACGGCCGTTATTTCTGCAGCGCCGTTTTAGGAGCCCAACGCTTTTGAAGTAATTCCCGGAGAGTACTTACAAGATGAATCTGTGGAGAATCGCCCGTGTCATTTGCATACACTCAACTTTATACAGCCGTAAATAATAGCGGAATGCGCCTTGCATTGTGAAAACGAGCCTTTCATGAGCACAGATATTCAGCGGGGTTACTCCGAAAAACGATATCCGAAGTTTCGAATGTTGCCATCCCTCTTGTGCAAAGCGAGATGCCAGCATGACCGACAGTGACAGATAGACTCGAAACAACGTAAACATCGTTTTGGAATAGCCCTGCAGATATTTAGTGTGGCGCGTGCTGATTGGCCAACGATCGGTAATACGGCCTAGTTCGGAGTTTAAATTAACGGCCGTAATCTGAGTGATGAGAATAGATCTTTAACGAAAACGACGGTAGCAATGAGTTTGGGGTAGCAATTCACTAAAAGATATAATACTACTGGTTGTATTGTAAGTAAGTATAGTATGAGTGAATTAACACTGAAAAGTTTTAAATAGTTATTTTTGGAAGTTTGGAATATGCCTAAGTTACAGTCAAAACTCAGAATCGGTCAAAACCACTTTTGACAGCAAAAATCAGTCAAAAGTGGTTTTAACTGCCCTTTGTTAATATCACTTTTGACAGATTTTTGTGTTCATTATTTTAATCTGTCTATTATCGGAATAAAAAGTTTTTTTCTTTTCACTAATGAAATGTTTCACTAATTTCATAATTATAGAAACCCTTCTATAGCTAATTACACTGTCTATAGTAAAATCACATACCAAAACCCAGCAAACACTATCCTTTAATAGGTACCTACGCTGACAGCGCAGACTTGATATGGGCAATAAAGCCCGAATAACTCGCACTACGACAATTACTGCCGAAATGCACTGCGAATGAAAGAGCTGCTGTGATGCTGGAAATCGGACTTTTGCTAAAACGTCCGGGGTTTTAAGATGCATTGACGAAGTATGTATTAAAACGAAAAGGAAGTCGATAAGACTTACAACGAAAAAACAGCATTTAGTAAAATAAAACTAAATAAGGTGTCATAGTGCTTTTGTCTAACATACTTACCTACTCGTATAGTTGTCTTTTCGATACACAATAATGGCATCATCAAAAATATTACTTGGGTACAAAAACTGCTTTCAATAACCCTGACACAGTCAATTATTTTAACTTTACCTACCTTTGTAGATATCCTGCATATTACGGGTTTAAAATAATCACCCAATACCTAAGCAAGCTGGTAATATTACTTGTAGGTACATAACTTATGTGTAAACCTCCTTATTGGGAAAAATCTTGAAATACCCCCATTTCGAATTAAGGTTTTTCCGAAACTTTTCAGGAGTTCATCTAACACAGTGTCAGTAACCAGTGACATTCAAGTAAAGCAAACAGCATAATGAGTTATGATGGGTGGGCGTCTCGGTGAGCAATTTGGGGTTCCGTCGGCGTGTGCATTCGCAATGTGCTCGCGGGCGGGTGCCAAAACTGCCGTCTTTCCGCTGCATGCCCTCTGTCAGCCGGGTGCCACCGAAGCTTGTTAGGTTAAAGTTAATCTACGATTAGCTGGTTATTTAAAGTTGAGGAGGGACCAAATTAAGGAACAGTAATGTGATGCTAACAAAAAACAATATTAAACACATCTTTTTGCCCGACTTCGCCAGAAGGAGGGTAATGTTTTTATGTATAATAAGAAAATCGAAACGAAGTATTCAGTTTCAGTTGCTCTTACCTTGATACATCGGAAAGTCTCTTCTACACAATTTCTCAATCTATACGATGAAATAACGTCATCTAGACAACATCCTCTTCTGAATTCTTCCCAATAAGTTGTAGGGTAGAAACATCTTATGTTGATGATTTCATAACATTTTTTTTCTGTTGACACGCGCGAAGTTAGTTGCTAAAGTTACACTGCAGAGCAGAATAAGTGACTAAACAAGCTTTGTTAAATAACCAGGTTTTAACCAGCGTCACTGTCACCGGCCCTCATTTAACAGCCTTCGACAAAGTTCACAGAACTCATAGGCTCAATATACGTGTCTTCGCAAAGGCCGCACTCCTCTTAATCCCAGTCGTTGTAGGCCTTATTCCATGGGCCCAAGGTTCAAATTGTTGGTGTTGTTGTAAGTAGGTGCAAATTCAAGTATCGTATCACAGCATTGCAATGGCTTTCATCCAAATGTGATGTAATAACGCGGGCAAATCTGAAGAGCAGGCACGGATTAGGCAGCCAAGTTACACAATACAATACGTTTAAATGTGTAACTTTGTCAGTAAAATGCAGAGTAAATACAAAATCCAATTACAGTCGCCAGCATATCAGACTACTGAAACATATTTTGTTGCTAAATATAGCACCATTAAAACGACATGATGATGTGCTGTCCATACATACTGAGGTGTTATAATAATATTGATAACATATAATAATGATATTAATGTTAATTAGCACCGATTTGAAATACTTACATGTCTAAGAATAAAAGCTAAGTTTCAAATCAAAAAATTAAAACTGAAATATTTCTGAAACAGAAAAAGTTTAAAATCCAAAGCACTTAATTTGAGTAGAGTTACACTGTTCTAAACATGTTTACTTATTTCTAAAAAAGAACCCATAGTTCCAAATTCGCATCTGGCGTCTATGTTCTGAGTCGTACGGCTCTATTGTGTTGAAATATATTAGGAATGCTCAATTTAATTCGAACAGCCCCTGGGAACGGATCGGAAAATGTTCCTAATACCGAAGCTTTCAATATTTTAATATGAACCGAGTATCGTGGAACCCGTCCAACTCCGAAAATGTTAGCTTGTACTATGTCGATACTACTCGTACTATTGATATTTTGGTACTGTACTTTTAAATGTACCTACATTACAAATTAATTGCAGCCATACTAAGTTTTATACATGCCAAAGCAACTCTAATTAAGGATTTACGAATATATTCACTCCTAAGCCTGATTAAATCTTAATTATCTTGAAATGACTGATGTCTAATTACAGAAGAAGTAAAAAGTTTAAAGGAGAAAAAATACAAGTACCTACTTAGCGAAAAACTACCTAAACTTCGGAATCGGAAGAGGGCTAAAATACGAACTGTCTCCTAATGTGTTTCTTAGTTTAATCTAAGCTCTCCAGAACTCTCCAACAAAACAGGGCCCGACCGGGATTTGAACCCGGGACCTCTCACACCCAAAGCGAGAATCATACCACTAGACCATCTAGCCGCTTGGAGGCTTTACTTCAACTACTAGGTACCTACAATAATTTTGGCACAAGATTTTCCAATCTCAAGCCAAAATTTTACTCTACCACTTGAGTAAATACTCGTATTGTTATACCAAATTAAGAAGTTAGTAAATTATATGCCTGTAACGGCTCGATGGTCTAGTGGTTATGATTCTCGCTTTGGGTGTGAGAGGTCCCGGGTTCAAATCCCGGTCGGGCCCTGTTTTGGTGACAAATGAGTTGACAATTAGCCATCCTTCCAGCCATTCCTTCAAAATGGCCTCCAAAGTGTCTTCGTGTCTTTCAGGGCTAATATGATTATGGATATTAAAATCTGTCTAGAATCTAGATAAGTAGATAGAAAGACTTTTAACAGGACCTAACGTGAGATGTAAGGCAAAATTACCTGCATCATAATACAATTCAGATGAATACCTACTAGGTATCTTCAGCCACAGTCATATACTGGCAATGATATTATTATCAGCGATTTTCATCATCGAAAACTGTCAATCAAGTAGGCACTACCCAATGCTCCACACTTCCATACCCGCACCATTGCATTCTCGTTCTACCACATTGTTGTCTTCAGTCACTTCCAATACTAACCCAAAAATGATCCATCAATAAATTAGCTAAATAATGATCTCCAGGTTACCCAGCTGGCCAAATGTGACTTCTCAGTACTCATTCACCTACACTCGTAGATGGGTTTTATGCCGAACTATCTGTTTGACGTTCCGCCATCCAATCGTACAGCATCGTAAACTTGTGGTCTCTACGTAACATATCGACTTTGATTCGAAAACACCGCAAGCCATTTAATACATCACCACCTTGAAAAGTGATTCCAACATGCTGGAAACTCCACAAAATTAAACCCTATAACACATCAAATAAGGATCTAGGTCTTCAGATCCAGCTGCAAAAGGATGTTGCCATTTTGACACGGAGAAAGGTATCGTGGGAGTCTGACTCTTCAATAGTACAAATGGCATATTGTTAGTCATATTCTGCTGCTAAAGCAGTTTATGTTAATAGTTCCTAAATGTTGGAAAGTAGCTGATCCTTTGATTAGAAAGATTTCTAGGGTTATTTTTATATCATATGAGAACCTTTTACACCATAACTGCTANAACTCCTGTTATTGGGTTAACAATGAAACTAACCAGTGACTGCAGAAATTGATACGACACATTTGTCAAATAATAAGCATAGTGTTGCGAGTCAAAATTAACCCCTCTCTCTCAACCAACCGCAATTAAATGCTGTTTCATGTAGAACACTTTTCCAAAAACATTTCATGTGACTTTTCTATAAACATGTACTTCGTACAGAACCTTAAAACATTAAATGTGACTTTTCAGAACCATAATCTATTTGAAACTTGCATAAACTGAAATTTTATGCACCATTCAAACGATTATTTCATAACTTAAATAGTTTTTCAGCTGAATACACTAAACAAACATTTTTATACAGAACATTTGGTTTATTAAAACGTATCACAACCGGCTCGATGGTCTAGTGGTATGATTCTCGCTTTGGGTGTGAGAGGTCCCGGGTTCAAATCCCGGTCGGGCCCTGTTTTGAAGAGTAAATTCTGTTAATTAGCTTGACCTTTGCTAACTCCTGAAAACTACGTTGAGTTTTACGGAATTTCCTGGTTGATTATTTACATGAGAAACTATCTAAACTTATATTAATTTATTTTTCATAATTAACTTTAAAAAAAAAATAAAACCGACTTCAATTAATGCGTGAACACAAAAAAAACTAAAAATTAAAAAAAAGCTCTACCCTTGGGGGTGAAATATTTTCTTCAAATTCGCATGAAACCACCCTTTTGATAATACCTATTCAACAAAAAAATAATCGTTCAAATTGGTTCATAATCGGCGGAGATATTGCGTATAAAAAAGTTCATCCCCAATTTTCCACCCTTGGGGGTGAAATATTTTCTTCAAATTCGCATGAAACCACCCTTTTAATAATACCTATTCAACAAAAAAATGATCNTTCGCATGAAACCACCCTTTTAATAATACCTATTCAACAAAAAAATGATCTTTTAAATTGATTTATAATCGGCGGAGATATTGCGTATAAAAAAGTTCATCCCCAATTTTCCACCCTTGGGGGTTGTTTTTTCTATTATTAAATTTAAATGGGACCACCCTTGAGGTATTACCTATACGCCGAAAAAAGATTTGTTCAAATCGGTTCATAATTGGCGGAGTTATCGCGTAACAAACATAGAAAAAAAAACATACGGGTCGAATTGAGAACCTCCTCCTTTTTTGAAGTCGGTTGAAAATTGTGAGTTAAATAGGGATTAATTTATTTTTGAAAAGCAAAAACATTCCATTTGCGCGCGATTTCTATAAAAAAACATTGATAGTTTCATGACTTTGATGAATTTTTCCCCTGAAAAACCCTGAAACTCAATGGAAAGAACATAGACGGGACTATTGGATCCATCTGTATTGTGTAACAACTGTATTGTTTCATTGTTTGTTCAGGTGAAACGAATTGAACGAGAATTATTAGGTATTTAAGATTATAGTGGATACTTACTCGTACATTGTTAAACAAGTAATTTTCATGATTTTCAGTCACTGGAAACGAAGAGCTTTTTAAAGCTCCTTTTTGTAAGTTTCCTGTATTTAAATATAAAGTACAGTGTATATTATTTACATTTAAATATGACAGTGTAACCGGCTGGGAAATACTTGTCCGGAAAACCGCCCTATAAAACGTAGTTACCTTAAAACACCCGGAAAATCGATGAGAGCCTTCCCGTCTGGATATTACAGACTTCGTCCTGAAATTCAACCGGCTCGTTGGTCTAGTGGTATGATTCTCGCTTTGGGTGTGAGAGGTCCCGGGTTCAAATCCCGGACGAGCCCCAGCCTTTTTTACGTTTTGATACACTTTCAGTAGTAGGTGACAGTTGTTAAACCTTTTGTTTTGAACTGGATAACCGTTAAATGATCACACTATACATATTGTACTGAAAGATATTCGTTCCTTTTTGTTATTAAGAATGTTGTCTCAATGTCGTGTTATTGAAACGTCTCGGGTTCAAATCCCGGGTGTGTCCTGTTTTGTAACGCGACTGATTTGATTACCCTCCTTTCTAAATTGCTTACGCAAGTAATTGTACGCTATTATCTGTGTTATTAAAGTGTGAGAAATTTATACTAAGCTATGGATAGAATCTGTACTGACTGCTACAGTACTTATAATGTACCTAACTTGTACTTAATTTGTAGTTAATAACAGTACTAAGTATTATGTATTTTAAAAAACAGGTAGTTTACAAATACAAATTAAAATCAGAGTAACATAGCTCTGATAAAATTACAACTTTAGAATTTTCATTTTGCGTCAGGGTGAAAAATGTTTTTGTGCCTTTTGAAAACTATGGGGGTAATCAACCCTTTATACTATACAGGTAGGTATACCTACACCAGGTTGTGTTAGGTAAATGGGTATGAGCCGACACTAACCCATGTTAACATGGGCATAAAATGGTATGGTGAAGTCAGAAAATTGATAGCTTCATTTTAATTATTTTTATTTTCATACAAATCCGATTTTATAAAATTTATTTTGTATGGAAATTAATAAAAAAAATATGATGATATCAAATTTCTGACTTCACCATAGTATTTATATGCCCATGTTAACACGGGCTAGTGTCGGCTCATATACCCATTTACCTAACACCCTGTATACTTATTTCAATCTATAGACAATTTCTTAAGACTAAGTCATGTTCTATCTAATGCATGAGCATTAAGTACCTATAGATTAGATGCCCTTAAAGTTATTTGGCAGATATTTCAAATAACTATAGACTTCCCGATGAGAAATTCCCAATGACCTGTAAATCCCTAAACCGTAACTTTCATAGCAAACATTATAATAAATTCCTTTCTCGGTGTTGCATTGTAATGTAGCGGATAAATAAACGGTCCCAAAATCCATAAGTAAGAGTAATGTACCATTAATGAGCCGAAGAAAACATCAAAGCACAATATATTATGCTATAATTAGCTATACATTATACTTATAGGTTCTACGAGACACAGGGAATGGTATATTTGAGCCGGAATTCAAATTCACGCCGTATTTACAAGTTTATTATTGAAATTAACATTTAACTTTAATCCGTTGGATGCCTACCGTAACGGAATGAAAAGTTTTGGTAAGTATTTATTTATACCTATCAATAATAAATGCTCTTTCCTTACAGATTTGTAGTTTTGAGAACTCGACCACCACGTCAGAGGCTGCTTGTTCGATTCCCGCACCAATAGAAACCTTTGTGAACAAGTAAGATGTTTAAAAAGTAGGTATTAAGTTTATTTACATCCACCGATGTATGTATGGTACTTGGGTTTACTTAACATAGTATAAGAATATCTCAATTGGGAGTAAATGAAAGATACCATTGTTTAATGCCTGCGGGATTCGCAGTCCTGAGAAAAAAATAGTCGATAAGTATGATGTTTTATTTAACAAACCTACACAATGTAAAAATAAAACTGTTGCATTGACGTAGATACGAGTGACTCTGTGTAAACGTTAATTTTGTTTTATTTATTCGTATAAACGTGTAAAGTATAACAATCGTTATTGTGTTTGTAGATGGTTAAAAATATAGATTCACGAATTATTGTAAAACTGAAATTTTAACACCTTATAAAAATATAATGTAACAGCAAGTTGTTAAACTACACAATAAGTTACATACATATTTGACTACCTACCTACATTACTACCTCTACAATACTTACCTATTTGTTTCCAAACACCAATAAACGAACGCGAAGTAACCGTTAGTAATAGTTATAATCATTCAAGATCTACCTTCCCTTTTTCATTGATACCAATGAAAGTAACAAGTGACAGATATGAATCTTGTACTTTTACTTTTTTCGATATAATTCGACAAGAATCGACACGACTAGCCAACAAAGTAACAAAGCATCTGTACCTCTAGTACGAAAAACTTTCGAGTTCGTTTCGTTTGCGTATTCAAAGTGTCATCGAAAAATTTTGTATGAAAAATTAAACAGCGCCCCCTAGGGCGGCTATAATATAGGGGGCGCTGTTTACTTTTTCATACAAAATTTTTCGATGACACTTTGAATACGCAACGAAACGAACTCGAAAGTTTTTCCTACTAGAGGTACTGACAGTTTTTATATCC